ACAGAATTATATGAACATGTTTGCTGATGATGCTAAGATAATAGGAAGGATAAGAAATTTAGATGACTGTCATGCCCTTCAAGAAGACCTGGACAAAATAAGTATATGGAGCACCACTTGGCAAATGGAATTTAATGTTAATAAATGTCATGTTATGGAATGTGGAATAGGAGAACATAGACCCCACACAACCTATATATTATGTGAGAAATCTTTAAAGAATTCTGATAAAGAAAGAGATCTAGGAGTGGTTCTAGATAGAAAACTATCACCTGAGGACCACATAAAGAATATTGTGCAAGGAGCCTATGCTATGCTTTCTAACTTCAGAATTGCATTTAAATACATGGATGGCGATATACTAAAGAAATTGTTCATGACTTTTGTTAGGCCAAAGCTAGAATATGCAGCTGTTGTGTGGTGCCCATATCTTAAGAAGCACATCAACAAACTGGAAAAGGTGCAAAGACATGCTACTAAGTGGCTCCCAGAACTGAAGGGCAAGAGCTACGAGGAGAGGTTAGAAGCATTAAATATGCCAAAACTAGAAGACAGAAGAAAAAGAGGTGATATGATCACTACGTACAAAATAGTAACAGGAATTGATAAAATCGACAGGGAAGACTTCCTGAGACCTGGAACTTCAAGAACAAGAGGTCATAGATTTAAACTAGCTAAACACAGATGCCGAAGAAATATAAGAAAATTCACCTTCGCAAATAGAATGGTAGACGGTTGGAACAAGTTAAGTGAGAAGGTGGTGGAGGCCAAGACCGTCAGTAGTTTCAAAGCGTTATATGACAAAGAGTGCTGGGAAGACGGGACACTACGAGCGTAGCTCTCATCCTGTAACTACACTTAGGTAATTACACTTAGGTAATTACAATGTAGTGACTAATATTGCAAATGTGCATACAGCACAGACACTATACACACGCACACGACGGTGTTGTTTACTGGTTAAATTCATGGCAACATACTACTTTGTACAAGTATGAAGAATTTCGAGCCTCCGGGATAAACCGTGTCATGAGCGAATAACATGCAAAGATTGTGACAAATCCTCCTTGATGGTGTCGTCGATTAGTGACTGTGTGTGTAATTACCTAAGTGTAATTACCTAAGTGTAGTTACAGGATGAGAGCTACGCTCGTGGTGTCCCGTCTTCCCAGCACTCTTTGTCATATAACGCTTTGAAACTACTGACGGTCTTGGCCTCCACCACCTTCTCACTTAACTTGTTCCAACCGTCTACCACTCTATTTGCGAAGGTGAATTTTCTTATATTTCTTCGGCATCTGTGTTTAGCTAGTTTAAATCTATGACCTCTTGTTCTTGAAGTTCCAGGTCTCAGGAAGTCTTCCCTGTCGATTTTATCAATTCCTGTTACTATTTTGTATGTAGTGATCATATCACCTCTTTTTCTTCTGTCTTCTAGTTTTGGCATATTTAATGCTTCTAACCTCTCCTCGTAGCTCTTGCCCTTCAGTTCTGGGAGCCACTTAGTAGCATGTCTTTGCACCTTTTCCAGTTTGTTGATGTGCTTCTTAAGATATGGGCACCACACAACAGCTGCATATTCTAGCTTTGGCCTAACAAAAGTCATGAACAATTTCTTTAGTATATCGCCATCCATGTATTTAAATGCAATTCTGAAGTTAGAAAGCATAGCATAGGCTCCTTGCACAATATTCTTTGTGGTCCTCAGGTGATAGTTTTCTATCTAGAACCACCCCTAGATCTCTTTCTTTATCAGAATTCTTTAAAGATTTCTCACATAATATATAGGTTGTGTGGGGTCTATGTTCTCCTATTCCACATTCCATAACATGACATTTATTAACATTAAATTCCATTTGCCAAGTGGTGCTCCATATACTTATTTTGTCCAGGTCTTCTTGAAGGGCATGACAGTCATCTAAATTTCTTATCCTTCCTATTATCTTAGCATCATCAGCAAACATGTTCATATAATTCTGTATACCAACTGGTAGATCATTTATGTACACAATAAACATCACTGGTGCAAGAACTGAACCCTGTGGTACTCCACTTGTGACATTTCTCCATTCCGATACATTGCCTCTGATTACTGCCCTCATTTTTCTATCAGTCAGAAAATTTTTCATCCATGATAGAAGCTTACCTGTCACCCCTCCAATATTTTCCAGTTTCCAGAACAACCTCTTATGTGGAACTCTGTCGAAAGCCTTTTTTAGGTCCAGATAGATGCAGTCAACCCAACCATCTCTTTCCTGTAATATCTCTGTGGCTCGATCATAGAAACTGAGTAAATTCGATACACAGGATCTTCCAGATCGAAAACCATACTGTCTGTCTGATATTATATCATTTCTCTCTAGGTGTTCTACCCATTTAGTTTTGATTAGTTTTTCCAATACTTTCACTATTACACTTGTCAATGATACAGGTCTATAATTGAGGGGGTCTTCCCTGCTGCCACTTTTGTAGATTGGAACTATGTTAGCCTGTTTCCACCCGTCTGCTACGATTCCTGTACACAGGGATGCCTGAAAGATCAGGTGAAGTGGAATGCTGAGCTCAGATGCACATTCTCTCAGAACCCATGGTGAAACGCCATCTGGGCCAGCTGCTTTGTTCTTACCGAGCTCCTTGAGCATTTTTTCCACTTCGTCTCTAGACACCTCTATGTGTTCTATGTTGTTCTCTGGAATTCTTATTGTATCTGGTTCCCTAAAGATTTCATTTTGTACAAACACACTTTGGAACTTTTCGTTTAGTGTTTCACACATTTCCTTTTCATCTTCCGTGAATCTATTTCCCATTTTCAACCTCTGAATATTATCCTTTACCTGCAATTTGTTGTTTATGAATTTATAGAATAGACCTGGTTCTGTTTTACATTTGTCCGCAATCCCTTTTTCAAAATTTCTTTCTGCCTCTCTCCTCACTGCCGTGTAGTTGTTTCTCGCATCTTTGTATCGCTGGTATGTTTGGGGGTTCGGCCTCTTCCTGTATTGATTCCATTTTTGTGTCTTTCGGTCTCTAGCCCTCTCGCAATTTCTATTGAACCAATCCTGTTTCCTAGTTCTGCATCTCTGTTTTGGTATAAATTTTTTTGTGCCTTTATCATATATTTCACAAAACTTGCCATACATCTCATTCACTTCCTTGCCTAGCATCAAGTCTGTCCAATTATACTCACTAAAAAAATTTCTAAGGTCACCATAATGTCCTCTCCTGAAGTCTGGTTTTTCAACTGCTTCAACCTCCTTATTTTCTTCCAGCTTATAACGCATTGCATACTTTATTCCCAAAAAGACATGGTCACTTTTACCCAAGGGAGGAAGGTACTGAATGTCAAATATCTCTTCCTCCTTCCTGGTAAATATCAAATCTAGCATGGAGGGAACGTCCCCTTCCCTCATCCTCGTAGCTTGTTTAACATGTTGATACAAGAATGTTTCCAGGATGAGGTCTACAAATTTACAGGTCCAAAAATCTTCTGTTTTAGCTTCATATGCTTCCCAGTCTATGGATTTCAAGTTGAAGTCACCGACTATCAACAGTCGTGATCTATCGTTATCCGCTCTCGCTATAATCTCTCTCATTATTGTTATAAGACCTTCACGTTTACTATCTAGCTCCTCCTTTGACCATGTGCTGCTTGGCGGTGGACTATATGCATTTATCATCATTAGTTTATCATCCTCATAGCAGATCTCTAGTGCTATTATGTCAACTTCTTGTGGATTGGCAGTCATTATTTCCTTCACCTTTAGGTGTTCTTTTACCAGCACAGCAACGCCACCGCCTTTCCTAATTTTTCTGTCCCGTCTCCAAATTGAGTAGCCCCTTGGGAATATGACCTCATTTAAAATTACATCTTCAAGTTTTGTCTCCGTGAGTGCAACAATGTCTGGTGTCTGCAGCTGTATTACATCACTTAACTCCAGTATCTTCGATCTCACTCCATCTATGTTGGTGTATGCAATCTTCAGGAACTTGTTCCCCCTCTCCTTATTCTTCACTCCCCCTCTCTCTATTGATTTTGTTGGTTTGCCTTTATGTACCACTTTACTGGTTTGCCTACCCCTATCACTTTGTAGAAAAAAGAATTTATTTCTTCTTCATTCCTGCTCTCATTTAAATGTTTTGCCTCGGCGAGGTTCAGTTTCAGCTTCTCTCTATCTTCTTTTGAAAGATCTCGTCTTAATTCTCGGTCATGCGGTCGACCTGCCTCAGTTTACTACAGCTGCCCGCTTAGTGACGATCGCGCCTATAAGAAATTTCGCTTTTGTGGAGATTTTTTGCATTTTGAACATTAAAGTAAATATTATATATCACGCCATGAGTCCCAGGAAAGTTTTTGGTAAGGCTCAACATATGAGATCCCATGTAAGCATGACCATAGAGCAGAAACAAGAGATCATTCATAAATATGAAGATGGTGTGCGGGTTGTTGGACTGGCTAGGCAGTACAGTACAACAAATCTCAGTCAACGATATCCACCATACTGGCTAAGAAAAAGGACATTATGAATGCTAAAGTGATGCATCATTATAGACAAATGTTAAAATGAAGGGAAAAACAAATGTCTCTTGACAAATTTGTAGTGAGACAAACAAGCACTGAACCACACCCAGGTCCTAGTGGTATTCAGGCAAAACATAGGAGAGAGTGTACCCCAGAGAAAACATCACTGCCTGATGTGATAATGGAAGGGGACTCCTGTTCCAAACAGTAACACCTCTCCTCCTCCCCCTCCCTCCCTGTACATACATACAAATCTTGTGTGTGTGTGTATATATATGTATATATATATATATATATATATATATATATATATATATATATATATATATATATATATATATATATATATATATATATATATATATATATATATATATATATATATATATACACACACACACACATACATGAGTTTGTTGTTGTTATTGTTTTGTTTTATTGTTGTTTTCATATACTTATTGTTTTCATATACTCTACTCAGGGCTGTCAACCTTGCCATTGTGAAGTAGCATCATTGAGAAGCCAGTGTGATGAAGGCACTGGTCAATGTGAGTGTAGAAGCGGAGTCACAGGCCAGCGTTGTGATCATTGTATGCCAGGCTTCTGGAACTACACTCCGTACGGATGTCAAGGTGAAGCTTTTAACTCACATAGTTTTTTAATGGCTTATAATATTAAAGAGAAAATCACCTAATAGTTATTTATGTAATTTAACATATTAATATTGTATTAATTTTTAACTATCTTCTGATTCTCTTAATATTTTTCTGATATATTGTGCAGTAAATAAAATCTGATGCAGTAATTTTATATTTTGTTGATTTCTGTTACGATCACTACATACAAAATAGTATCACCTCTTTTCCTCCTATCTTCTTGCTTTGGCCTATTTAATGCCTTCAGCCTCTCATCAGAGTTTGTTTTGAAGTTCCAGGAGCCATTTAGTAGCATATCTTTGCACTCTATTTTATTTTATTTTATATCTATTTTATTTTGAAAGTACACTAAACAGTATATGTTTGTTTACAAGATTTTTAGGAACCTGTTTCCTCCATTTTTCCTCTCTCGTCTGAAATACGTAATATGTTTATTAACACTGAAAAATGTAACATGTTCTTTAAGAAAGCAATTATGTACTAAATCTAAAAAAATCTTTTGTGTCATCATTCCTTGATTTATTAGTTCAGTTTATTCTACTATAAATGCAACAATACAGACAACTACCTTCTATGAAGTTTGGTGGCCTTGGTGGGTGGATTTGGTGGGAAGTTCTACTATGGTTCCATATTAGACTATTATTATTTTTATTTTATTTTAATATCATAGTTTTTGTATAGCTCAGTTTTATCTCCTTTTTTCATGCAAAACATGCAGAGCTAAGCTGAGCTCCAGCATGTTTTTGCGACCGTCTAGATTTTTGGCCATCATTCCTTTCCCTGTATTCCATTCCAAATCCTTATCCTGACTCCTTCCATGTGCTATATAGTCGTAATGTCTTGTCCTTTCTCCCAATGGTTCCCTCCCCCTCCAGTATGTTTTTATTAAGGCATTTTTTTTTTTTTTTTGGCTCTTGGGTTGTCTGGGTGGAGAGCTTCATACCCTGCTCCAAAGAGCTTCAGGGAGCTACCGCAGCTTTACCAGAAAGAGGCATTTCGTTTCACTCAATGCTAGCTTATGTATAATTTTACTTGAGCATGTACTTAAAGTCCTTATTGTACTTGATTTCTTGCAGAATGCACATGTCGTGAAGGTTTCAGTGTAGGTGTTGGTTGCGACCCCGGGACTGGTCAGTGCCAGTGTTTACCAGGTGTTATAGGAACAAACTGTGAGGGATGCCCCTACAGGTAAGGGATTACAAAACTAATGTAAATATTTATTGTAAATTTAAATGAACAAATAAATTTTTATTTTGTTCTATATACAGTAATTATAATGGCAATGATAAAGATTTTATTATTATTCTAGTGCTATAATCATTATTACTACTGCATTATTATTAGGTATGTCTGGTAGAACTTCCGTTTGGTTGCAGATATTTGTTTTAATTTGTAAAATTCCTTAAAAAGTCTTTGCATATCAGCTTAAGACATTTTAGGCTTATGTATAGTGGTGCAAGGTATGTTTCTATTATTATTAATAATTTAATGCTGTAGCCCACTGATGACAGCTTTTAGAACCATTTTCTGTGGAGAGCCCCTTCGGCTCTCCGGAGCTATACCGGGCTTATGTGTATATATTAGACCATGGCAACAGTCAATCAATGGAGTTCTAGGCTTACCGGGGGCCAGAGCCAGAACCTGGCCCCCTCAAGAGAGGCACGAAGAGCAATAGCCTAAAGATACCCCCTAAATACTGCTTTAGTACCCCCCAAAGACTGTTTCCAATTACCCGTGTAATTAGAAGCAATCTTTGTCTGCCATCTACCAGGTCAGGCACCCAGAAAGGTAGGAATTCCAAAACAAACTACTACTGGTCAAAAATTTGCTCACCCAAAAGCTGAATTAGCAACAGAACTCCCCAATCAAAACCAAGGAAACAAGATGATGTCTCCAGAAACGCTGCGCATCCATCTGCGCAACCCCCCCCCCCCCCCCCGGGTTCATCCCAGACCTCCACACCTGAAACTCTCCTCAGTTCACAGGCTGTTGTGAGGGCTAATGGTTGAACTCTGGCTCCATCCTTTGAGCAGTGCTGCAGTGCAGTGTTGTTCAGTTTTGGTATCATGCAAGCCAGGAGTAACACAGGAGGCTTGAGCCAGCATTCAGCAGTCTCCGTGGTGTAGTGGTAAGACACTCGCCTGGCGTTCCGCGAGCGCTATGTCATGGGTTCGTATCCTGGCCGGGGAGGATTTACTGGGCGCAATTCCTTAACTGTAGCCTCTGTTTAACGCAACAGTAAAATGTGTACTTGGATGAAAAAATGATTCTTCGCGGCGGGGATCGTATTCCAGGGACCTGCCCGAAACGCTACGCGTACTAGTGGCTGTACAAGAATGTAACAACTCTTGTATATATCTCAAAAAAAAAAAAAAAAAAAAAAAAAAAAAAAAAAAAAAAAGAGTACTGGGGCTGTACTTACAGGGCCACCTTCCCTAGGTGCCCTGTACATACTGCCCTTGCAGCATCAGGGTTATCTTCCCTAAGCCATTCAGGAACTATCTCCGTGTGGTTCTGTTGCTGCTCGGTGATTGCCCGCCCTTGGGGTTCAGCTGGTGTGGTTCTTACTCCTGTTTGCCCTTGGGTAGGAGGTAGTTTCATCACTGGCTGGGACTCGAGGTACTGTGCAGCTGTCTGATATACGCATAGCAACTGGTTCTATTCACCTGGAGACGATGTGCTTTTGCGGGTTTTTTATTTTGTTTTGTTTTGTTTTGCCTGGCGAGGGATCTTGTATGATATTGGTGGCCCTCCACTAGGTCACCATGCTTGCTTACATCACAGGGGTTCAGCGTTTAGTTTGTTTGCTTGGTAGCTCTGGGATAACCAGTTAACAGTACCTGGGCTTCCCTTAGCAGACAGCCTAAGGGTCCTAGAAACCCCCATTGGGGCTCAGTGTTCTGATGGAAGAGACCTCGAGCCTGTTCCTCCTGCTGGAGCCTTCGGCCATGCCAGCGGGCCCCCCTTCATCCCGGCTTTTCCGGCGGACTCTGCTTTTTTTCCAGAGGCAGAGAGTTTGGAGGACTGCTCAGCCCCGGGTCCGGACATGGAGGTTCCCGGGGCTAGGGAGGAGTTGACTTTGGCGAGACGAGATTCTTTGGGGGATATTGACTTTGGCAGCTAGGGTGTCGGCTGCACTGTTGAGGTTCTTTGCGCCCATCCTGAAAGAAGCGGTGTCTCTGTTTTTTGCTTCTCGCCTCACGTGCCGTCAGGCTGTGCTCGCCCTCTCTCTGGAATCTGCTTGAGCCCTGGCTCTTAGGTTCTCATCTTCATTTTATCCGTTGCTGTTTGCAGAGACTGTGGTCTCTCAGTTTCTGCAAGCGGCTTCGTCTAGTTGTCGTCCTATGGCGGACTTCTTGATTCTCCGAGGCGGTTGTTCTCGGCAGTCTCGGAGGGGTCGTGCCAGGATTCCGCGTTCCGCTGGTCGAGGTGGGCCGTTGGTGCCAGTTTCTGAGCCGACGTTCTCTTTGGGGCCCGCGTCATCTGGTCGGCGCAGTGATCGCCCTGTTCGACGTTTGGGTGCAAGGCGTGTCGGGTCTTTCGCGGTTCGCCCCGTTGATGGGGCGATGGGGGGAGGCTTGCTCTGTTTGCCCACGCTTGGTCCCACAATTTGTGGGCCTTTTCGGTCGGGTCATCTGGCCTGAGGTGGCGTTAGGCGACCCGTCCTCCTTTGGGGGGGTTCAGGGCTAACAGGGCAGATTTTTTCTGCTGCGCTTCGTAAAGTCGCCTTGGAGTGAATGCGCTTGGGTGTGGTTGAAACGACTCTGTCCCTCAGGTGGGTTTCCCGTCTGTTTCTAGTGCCGAAACGGGACTGTGCGGATCTGAGGTTCATTCTGGACTTGTCTCGTCTGAATCCCTGGATTCCCTTGCCCCTCCTTTCGGATGACTACTCTGTCTCAGGTCTGGCTTCTGTTGGAGCCGGGTGCCTAGATGGTGTCCCTGGACCTCAAGGACGCTTATTGGCACGTTCCTATTCATCCGGGGTTCAGGGACTGGTTAGGTTTCGTGGTGGGGCGTCACGCTTAATGCTTTCGCTGCCTACCTTTTGGCTTGAATCTGGAACCTCGCATTTTCACGCATCTGACCCGGGTTGTGGTAACCCGTCTGCGTCTTTTAGGGATTCGGGTTTTGGCCTACCTCGACGATTGGCTGGTGTGGGCTCCCAGTCGGTCAGCATGTCTGCTCGCCGAGGATATGGTTCTTTCCCAGCTCGCCAAGTTCGGGTTCCTGGTGAACTGGAGGAAGTCCCATCTGGTTCCATCCCAGGTTCGAACCTGGCTGGGTCTTGTTTGGGATTCTCGGACCACTTCCTTGTCTCTCCGTCCAAAGCCATTGCTGTGGCTGCGGGCCCGTTGTCGGCTGTTTCTGAGGGGTCCCGGGTCTCTCGGGGTTGCTCGAGTGGTTGTGTGGGAGTCTGAACTTCGCCATGCTCGTCTACCCGCCTGGTCGGGTTTGGCTTCAAAGACTGTTTTGGTTCCTTCAGGGACGTCCCTTCCGCGCCTCTCTCACGATTGTTGGGTTCGTCCTCCGGGGGCCTTGTGTCGGGTGCTGCGTCACCGGCTTCCTCTTCGGGGTTTTCAGGGTTCGGTGCCTTGGCGCCTCGGCGAGCCTTCGCTCGATGTGTTCACGAATGCGTCGTCTCTTGACTTGGGCTTTGTGACCAGTGCTCACCAGGCTAGCCAGGGACGGTGGGGTCCGTCCTTCCGTTGGGCTCACAGCACGGTTCGAGAGTTCGCGACAGTCTGGTTTGCGCGCTTTGGAGGGTTCAGGTCGCTCGGGGATCGACCATTCGCCTCCATTCGGACTGTTCTCCAGTGGTTCATTGCCTGAACCGCAAGGGTTCTCTTCAGTCCTTGGCTCTTTGGGGTTGATCCCTTCAAGTGGTTCATCTGCTGGATTCTCGGGGTTTGGCTCTCCGTGCGGTTCATGTCCGGGAAGTGTCCAACGTCCTGGCAGATGGCCTGTCTCACTTCATTCCCCTGTCCATGGAATGGACGGTCGACGACAACTCGTTTCGTTGGATCTGCCAGATGTACTGTCTCCCAGATGTGGACCTCTTCGCATCGGCGTGGTCTTGGCGTCTCCCAATCTATGTGACGCCCTTTCCCGACTGTGAGGTGTTCATGGTGGATGCCTTTCGGGAGGACTGGTCGAGGTGGGGTTACCTGTACCTCTTCCCCCCAGTCCAGCTGTTGCTTTGGGTTCTGGTTCAGTTGGGGGACCTTCCCAGGGAGAGTAGTCCTTGTGGCCCCTTGGTGGCTGGCCCAGCCTGGGTTTCCGGCGCTATTGGCTGTGACGATCTTGGGGTGTTTCCCGCAGCTCTGCCTATTTCAGGAGGTCAGCCCAGTCTGGTACGGGGCTGGTTCGACCTTCTCCTCTGCTCTTCGCGTCTAGTCTTTGTGATGCGGATGTATCAACATTTCTATGGTGATCAGGTGGCTTCATTGATGGTGTCCCACCTGAGAGCTTTGTCTCGGTGACAGTATGAAGTTTCCTGGCGTTCTTTTCGCCATTTTCTTGCTCTTCGGAGGTTGTCTTATCTTTCAGATTGGGTTGATCCTTTCTTTTTTGGATTTTTCAGGACCGTCATTTGATGCCTAATACTGTTGCCTCGCATCGTGCGGCGCTGGCAGAGTTGCTCAAGCTAGGGTTCAGGGTGGATGTCACATCTGCCCTGTTTCATAAGCATTCTCGTGCTATGTTTCACCTCCAGCCTGCTCATGCGCCGCCTGAGCTGTACTGGTCCTTGGACAGGGTGCTCTCCTATCTTTCCTCTCCTCGGTTTGTGGTGGCCCCTTTGGTTCCAGATTGTTTTTCCAAAGCTTTGTTTTTGTTGGCATTGGCCTCAGGGGGCCAGGTAGAAGAGCTTCATGCTCTCCTCCGGCGCAGGGGTTTCTGTTATTTTGGTCCTGGTGGTAGGTTTTTCCATTTGCAGCCTTCTCCCTCTTTTCTGGCGAAGTATGAGACAGCTGCTTTCTGGAGGGGTCCGTGGGTCATTGATGCTTGGTTGGTTTGGCCAGGGATGCATCATGTGTTGTGTCCGGTTGCGGCTCTTCGCCGTTACCTGTGCGCCCAAGCTGGGGTGGCTGGGAAAGTGCTTTGGGTTGATCCGGTTACCCTCGTTCCCTGTTCCAGGGCTCGGGTCTCCCAGCTTGTCCGCAGGGTTATTAAGTCTAGCCAGCCTGCGGTCTATCCTCGTGCCCATGACGTTCGGAAGTTTGTAGCTTTGGTTGCTGTGTTTGGTAACATGTCCTCGGCTCATATTTGGGCACGTGGATTTTGGAAGTCGAACAGGGTCCTGGCCGCCTGTTATTTGGTGAACGTTCCTGCTCCTCGGCGTTCTTGTGTTGCTTTAGGTCGCAGGTTGCAGCCAGTTGTCTTGACTTCGCGTTGAGGAGTTTGTGGCCCCCGCCTCCCAGGTAAGTCCCTTTTTTCCTTCTCTTTTAGTATGTAGCTCCAAGAAGCCGTAGGGGCTCCCCACAGAAAACCAGCGTTGAATGTAATGAAACGCCATTTTCTGGGTGATTCCCGGAAGCTCCCTGGCTACCCTCCATCCCATCTGGTCGGGGGGGGGAGGGGGGGTTCACGTTAGTTGAAGCCTAGTTTCTGAACTGAAGGCAGCTGGCGCGGTAAGGTCTGGGGCCCCCCCTTCCCCCTCTCAGGGGAGGGGAGGGCTGCACAGATGACCAGCGACGCAGTAAATTGTGATAATTGCTTGTTTCCTTGGGATTGTAGGGAGTTTCTACCTCTCTGTTCATTTTTTGTTTTAGTTTCTTACCATGTGGGGTTTGTTTTGTTATGCCTACCTTTCTGGGTGCTTAACCCTGGTCAATGGCAGATAAGGAAAACCCTCAACCACAATGGGGTTTTCCAGGGTCATTGCTCCCCGAAACCTCTCTGAAGGGGCCAGGTTCTGGCGCTGGTCCCTGGTAGGTCTGAACTCCATAGCTAATGTCCCGGTCTAATATAACATACATTAGCCCGATAAGCTCTAGGGAGCCTCCGGAGCTCACCCAGTAAATGGCGTTTCATTACATTCAACGCTGTTTTTTTTTTTTTTTTTTTTAGGAAACATGGAGCAGCCTGCCTGATATACACTAAATGAACCTTTTTGACATTTGTTCTTTTTTTCAAATTTTTTCAAATTTTTTCAAATTTTTTTTCTAAAAAAAATATAAATGCTTTGCAACATTACAGCAGTCACCCCTTTACATCCCAGCATCATTAGCATCTTTAAAAAATAAAATAAACATTAATTTGCATCATTGGAGGTGTCCGAGAATTTGCGAGAACCAGCGGGAATGCTAGGAAGCATGACATGGTTTTCTCGGTAATAGAGCGGAAGCTCGTCAATTGAGACAAATTTTTGGCAAGTGGCTCGCTCGTTACTCGAATACTCATAGATGGAGACACTCGTCACTTGAGGTTCCACTGTATAATAATTGTGGACACACCGTGCATCCCCCAGCAGACATCTGGAGAGGTTTTTTATAGATGCAAATTTTGTCCCCACTGGACCAAAGTGTTAAACTGGTTGAGAGAGGTACGGTCTTTGACTTGATTGGGAAGGTCATTCCACATTCTGGGTTCCTTGATTTGCAGAGCACTTCTAGTTTGGTAAAGTCATGCTCTTGGAATATTAAATGGGTATTTGGAGTTTACTTGAGAGGATGTACAGTAACTTAATATCTAACATATTCAAAGATTTAAGTAGGGAGGCCAAGTGCTGTCTGGGGCCTGAGTTTGTTATTGTTTGTTATTGTTAATAGCAGATTTGTGTTGAGTAATTAGAGAACGTAGATGATTTTTGGAATTAGAACCCCCAAGCACAGATACCATAATTGAGATAAGAATAATAAGATAATAAGGAGATAAGGTAGATGAGAGAGTGATAGTGTTACCAGGGCAGGGCAAGATACATAATATCTGTTTTTAGAAAGAATGCCAACTGTTTTAGAAACTTTTTCTGCGGGGGGCCCCGGTGCCTCCTTGGTGCTATCAAACTGACATGTGCCATATTAGTTTGGTGTCATCAGTCCCTGGAGTTCTGTGTTCCTACCAGAGACCAGAGCCAGAATCTGATCCACTCAGAGAGATGCATGGAGCAATGGCCATATGAGCACTCTACATTTAGAGTTTGTCATGTCTGCCATCGACTGGGGAAAAACACCAGAAAGGTAGGCAAAACGATACAAACCCCAACTGGTTAAAATTGCAACCTGCATCCAAGCAGAGCCAAAGAACTCGCCCCAAAAGAAAACAATGAAACTAGCGAATTGTCATTCAACTAGTGCCCTTGCTCAGGCGAGCCAGCTGCTCCACCCCAAGTTCATAGACTGATGTGCCAGTGTCAGCAAGTCTCCTCTGGCCTCAAATTATTGACTGGCTTTGGTGTTTGTGACTTTGCCAACTTTGTGTGGTGTGGTGGCCAGGTGTTCTTTGGTATGCTGGGCTGCATGCGCTTAGGGCTATCTTCCCCTAGGTGCCCGGTAAAAACTTTCCTTGCGTGTCAGCTAAACGGGAAAGGTGCAAAGACACAACAAAATTGCTTCTAGAACTGAATAATAAGAGCTACAAAGAGAGGTTAGAGGCATCAGATATACCAAAGTTAGATGATAGAAGAAAATGAGGCAAAATGATCGCTACTTACCAAATAGTAACAGGAATTGATAAAATTGACAAAGAAGAATTTTTGCAGTTTGCAGCTTCAAAAACAAGAGGACATTGGTTCAAACTAAGGAAACAAAGCTGCCCAAAAAATCAGAAAGTTCACTTTTGAAAACAGAGTGGTAGACAGTTGGAACAAGTTAAGTGAGGTGGTGGAGGCCAAACGCATCAGTGGTTTTAAATGTCATATGATAATGAGTGCTGGAAAGACAGAACACCACAAGTGTAGCTCACATCATGTAAATACACTTGGGTAGTTACACAGGTAATTACAGTTCTTAAGAGAATTACATTAATCTACAAAATTCACTGATATACAGTAATTAATAAAATAAGATGCCTGTCATTATATCATACTGTATATCATGAGCAAGGAGGTACAGTATAGGTTATAAATCAAAAGAATTGTTAATTTCCTATTTTAACTTCTGACTTAAGATTTATAAATGTTTAATCTGTGCAAGCAACAAATGAATTGTTTGTCTTTCTCAGATGGGTTCTTGTTGATGGTGTGGGATGTCATGAATGTGAAGAATGTGTTCATGCTCTGCTTGATACAACAGAAGAACTCTCAAGACTCATTCAACCTACAATCACTGAATTTGAGGTAAATAATCAAAGAATTCTTGAAGATATTTATATTTCTTGAGATAGTAGGCATACAATCATTGTTTTTTGTATTTTAACATTCCACCTTTCTAACTACTTCTAAAAATCCTGAATATTTTCATTATTTCTCATTATTAAAGAAGTCACAGAAAAACCCTGTATGTTTCTTAGACCAGATATCTTGTGACACATGATGCACACAGCATACATCCTGTTGAGGAGTGTGTTTGTTTGTCTTAGTGTTTGTTTCTGTGTGCAGTGCAGGTATTTAACCACTACACTGCACAGCCCGACATTACTCGCAGCAGGTGTTGCGGTAGGTTGATTATGAAATGAATGCCTGAGGCCTCCAGTGAATGGAAGAAGATAAGGGTAGTGATATTAATGAAACAAGGCACAATAAAGACCCAACACAAGAGTCAGATACAGGTGATACAGCACAGGTGAGGACGATACAGCGAGTGTATCCAGTAGAGGCTGAGCGCTCACTAGGTGTGCTGCAGCCTCCCAGACCATTATTATCACCACCTTTGTTATCTCCAATTTTTTAATAAAGTGAATCAGTTATAGTAACTTTTATAGACTGGGTGAACTCCTGTTCACCCAGTCCAATAATGCTGTTGATTGGGTGCAAGCAGCATTTTTGTTGCATGCGCGGTTTAGGTTGCTGCAATGCTCTAAATTAATTGCCTTTCTGGATGCCCCGTGGCTGCCCCTCTTTGGTTTTAAGGACCCAGACTTGAGGGGGTGTTAGTCGCTTTAATTTTGGTTTCCTCCGTGCCCCCTTGTCCATCTCCTGCTGTGGTTCATCCAGCTCTTACCTCTTGATCCTGGCTCCCAAACATCTGAGGGTTTCTAAGTCAGGGCAGGGTGAGGGTTTCTAAGTCAGGGCAGGGTGAGGGTTTCTAAGTCAGGGCAGGGTGAGGGTTTCTAAGTCAGGGCAGGGTGAGGGTTTCTAAGTCAGGGCAGGGTGAGGGTTTCTAAGTCAGGGCAGGGTGAGGGTTTCTAAGTCAGGGCAGGGTGAGGGTTTCTAAGTCAGGGCAGGGTGAGGGTTTCTAAGTCGAGGTAGGGTTTTCTTGGTGGTGAGAAGCAGGCGGCTTTGGGGACTGCCCCTTCTGGATCGGCGGCGGAGGCATTTGAGCGTGTTCCTCCTGCCGGAGCTTTTGGGTCGTGCCAGCAAACCCTTTTCATCCCTGTTTTTCCAGTGGACTCTGCCTTTTCTCCAGAGGCAGAGAGTTTGAAGGATGACTTGACCCCAGGTCCTGATGTGGAGGATCCCGGGGCTGGAGAGGAGTTGACTTGGGGGGGCTTGGGGCCGCATTTGACCCTGCTTGGGTCTTGGTACCCTCAGGGCAGGGTTTGTTGTTAAAGGGGAAGGAGTTTTCCAACCTTTTCCTACCAGGTCCCTCCTTGTACGAGTTTGACATAGGTTCGACTCCTTCCTGGGTTCGGTTCTGGGTTCCCTTGGGTTCCTCGGTTCCTTTCTTCCGGAGGGTTTAAGCTTCCCACATCCTGCCAAGAAAGGTGCAGGAGGCCCTTGTTGCTTACCTCCTACAAGACCTGGATTATGTCTTGATAATGGATCCTTCTTCTTTTGAATTTGGCTCCACTTGTTTGGCACCCAGTAACTTTTCCTTACTGGGTGCGTTACGATACAACCAAAAATAACTGTGTGCAACAAGTATAAACTTGACAAACATAACAAAAGTAAAAATAATTCGTGTGTGTTTGACGCTCACTGATATGTTCCAGCGTTGTTTTATATTTGTCACTATTCTAACTTACGCTTTGTTGATATTTTTTACCTATGGGCACATAGAACATTCTATTGCGAACACATTGATATAAAAATGAATGACGTACATAGAAAATTAATGTCATGAGAGTGAAATAAGTATAAACTTTCAAAGCGCCGTGCGTCGTCCCGTCACCGATACCGGGTAACAATTTCACCACTTCCCACACTCTTGCGGGTGGGCTGCATCATTATTCTACGCTTATATTCATATCACCGTGTTGGGAATTTCATTGCGAGTCCATTGATACCAAAATTAACACTGTAGAACAAGTGTGGAGGTGATTACAATCCCAAGAGTAAAAACATTTTGTTGCTTATGGGCGCTCACGGTGAGTCATCTACGTAGTTATTTATTTGGTGCTGGTATCCCTATATGTTTCGTGACTTATTTTACTGATGTTCTTCTAGAGAATTTTATTGCGAACACGTTGGTACCAAAATGAAATACGTAGCATGAGAACTAAGGTCAGAAGAGTAAAAAGAGTATACACATTTTTGTTTTTACGCTTAAGCGATAAAAACGCAGCGCGCACATTCGGTTGGCTGAGTGACCTTTGCGGAGAGCGCGAAAGTGTTAAGTTGTTTGCGTCGATTCTGAAGGAAGCAGTGTCTCTGTTCTTTGCTTTGAGCCTCGCTTGCTGGCAGGTGGTGATTGTCCTCTCTTTGGAATTCTCTTGGGCCATGGCTCTTAGATTTTTTCCTCTTTTTGTCCGTTGCTGTTTGTAGTGTCTGCGGTGGTGCATTTTCTGCAGACAGCTTTGTCTAGTTGTCAGCCTATTTTTGACTTGTTGGTTCTCTGGGAAGGCTGTGGTGGTCTTGCCCAGAAGGATCGCGCCAGGGTTCAGAATTCCTTTGGTCGCCGTAAGCCTGTTGTCCCAAATTCGGGGACGGCCTTGTAAGTTTCTGGCTTTGGCTGCTGTTTTTGGTAATATGTCCTGGGCCAACATTCAGGCATGGGACTTTTGGAGGGTCCTGGCCACACGGTACCTTGATAATGTTCCTGGCCCTTCTCGGGCATGTGTATCCTTGAGTCACAGGTTGCAGTAAGTTGTCTCGACTTCGAGTTGAAGAGCGAGTGACGGCCCCCTTCCAGGTATGTCCCTTTTCTGTGGAGAGCCCCTTCAGCTCCCCGGAGCTATACTAGGCTGATGTGTATATATTAGACCGTGGCATTAGTCAATTGAAGGAGTTCTAAGCTTACCGAGGACTAGAGCCAGAACCTGGCCCCCTCAAGAGAGGTACGAGGAGCAATGGCCTAAAGACACCCCCATACCCCCATATAATTGGAAGCAGTCTTTATCTGCCATATACCAGGCCAGGCACCCAAAAAGGTAGGAATTTCAAAACAAACTACTGCTGGTCAAAAATTGCAAACCGAAAGCCAAAATAGCAAACAGAACTCCCCAATCAAAATTAAGGAAACAAACAATGACATCAGCACAACTGCCGTGCATCCGTCTGCACACCCCCCCTCAGTGAGGTGGATGGGGGGGGGGGTTCCCAGACCTCCACGCTGGTAACTCTCCTCAGTTTAAGAGGCTGTTGTGTTGGTGACGGTCGATCGCTCTGGCTTCACTCTTTGCGCAGTGCTGCAGTGTGGTGTTGTTGCTCTGTGTTGGTGGTGTGTGAGCCAGAAGTATCACACAGTACTGGGGCTGCATGCACCTAGGACTACCTTCCCCTAGGTGCCCTGTAAGTACTGCCTTTGCTGCTTCAGGGTTATTTTCCATGAGCCGTTCTGGAGCAACTACCTCCGTGTATTTCTGTTGCTGCTCGGTGATTGCCTGCCTGGGCTTCCCTGAGCAGTCAGCCTAAGGGCCCTGGAAACCCCCTTTGGGGCTCAGTGGTACGATGTAGAAGACCTCTGAGTCCCACCTTGTCTTATGCGAGTTTGAAGGTTGCTTTGTCCTCTTGTCTCAGGGTGAAACTCACCATCTGCCTACGCCGTGCTGCCTGTTGAGGTCAGTGACACGTTTGATCCGGAATCCTGCGAGCGGTGTTCTTTGCTTGTACTCCAATTACCCAGTCCACCAAGACTGATATTCGGGTGCAGGCAGCTTTAGCGTTGCATGCGAAGTTTATATTGCAGCAACATGCGAGGTTGGTTGCCTTTCCGGATTTCCCGCAGCTGCCCCGCAGAATTATACTGGTAGTGAGACTTGGGCGGCTTTAGGGATTTTCTCTTCCGAAACGGCGGCATAGGCATTCGAGCCTGGTCCTCCTGCCGGAGCTTTTGGGCCACGCCAGTGGGCCTCCTTCATCCCTGCTTTTCCGGTGGACTCTGCTTTTTCTCCAGAGGCAGAAGGTTTGGAGGACGGCTCCGCCCCGGGTCCTGACATGGAGGATTCTGGGGCTGGGGAGGACTTGACTTGGAGGGGCCTGGACCCCCACTTGTCCCTGCTTGGGTGTTTGGTACCCTCGGCGCAGTGCTTGTTGTTACAGGGGGAGGGGTTTTCCTATCTCTCACCTCCCTGTACGATGTTGTTATGAGTTCAACTCCTCCCCGAGTTCGGTTCCGAGTTCACTTGGGTTCTTCAGTTCCCTCCTTCTGGAGGTTTTTGGCTTTCCACATCCCACCGAGGAAGGTGTGGGACGCCCTTGCAGCTTACCTCCTGTGAGATGCAGATTATGCATCGATAATGAAGCCTCCTTCTTTTGAGTTTAACTCCTCTTTTTCTGATTGGGTACGTTACACGGTGCCAGAGTCTTCCTGGCTGGCAGACTGCCTTTTCTTTCATTGAGGGTTTGGCATTCGTTCTGTCAAACTGCGCAGTTGAATGGCAAGAGTTGACTACGGTCGTTCAGGTTTTCCTGGGGATGAGATGCGTGCTTGTTCACCCTTGTGGTTGGGGTTTTCCATATCTGCCATTGTCTATCCTTGTGGCTCAGACAATGAACCACTAGAGTGCAGTCCGAATGGAGCTAGATCGTAGAACCCCGTGCGACCCGAATCCTCAGCATCGAAAGCCAAACTGCCGCAAACTCCTGTACCGTGCTGTGAGTCCAACGGAAGGATGGACCCCACCGCCCCCGGCTGGCCTGGTGAGCACTGGTCACAAAGCACCATTTGAGAGATGAGGCATCCATAAACACATCGAGTGAGGGTTTGGAGAGGTGCAGCAGCCGACACAAGGCCCCCCCGGGGGCAAACCCAGCAGTCGCAAGAGGAGGAGGAAGTGATGGCCCCAAAAGAACCAGAA